AGTAAACAGATGACGTTTCCTAGGTAACAATAATGCCAAGTAAACAGATGACGTTTCCTAGGTAACAACAATTCCGAGTAAACACGACGTTCCCTAGGTACACTTGTTAAACTTTTTCGTTTCCCTTTTTCGTTCCACTTTTTTGCCGAATGACCCTTCCTTATAGACGTATTTACGTAAAAAAAAATGCACAACACAGATGTATGTTCGGTTGTGCCAGCTTAATCGGTTCTATCTTGTGCGTCTGATCATTAGACACGTGAAATCACTCATCGTAATCCAAATTCTTGTAGTGGCACTTTCTTTTGGCTTTATTCTAAATATTAGTGTTCTGTCTGACGACAGGTCCATATGAACAGGATCCTTCCATCCTTTTCTCGGACTGGGACCTGTTCATATACGTTCTTGGCAGATGATCCAGAAGTGGTTTGCCATTGCCTTCTTCTGTGTGTGAATGGAGTAATTGTTGGGATGCCACGGAGAAACCGGGGAAGCCCCCGGAGGAAAACTCCGTGTTGCCTAGACCACGGCCTTGCCCAACACAAGTTATAAATTCGGGCATCTTTCAGCATAACTGTGGTTAAGAAATGTGAGGTACCTGTTTCGCTCTTCGCTTAATTTTAGGCTGATCAAAGCAAGAAGATGGGAAACTCCATGAGAAGAGACCGGGGGTAATGCGTTTTGGAGCCTTTTATAAAATTTCTTTTAAGCCTCTTATGTTTTGAAGGAAGAAGCTGTCTTCCGAGATGTGGAACCCTCAATAAAATATTCTCGGGTGCTCAGCCGCGTCAGATGGTTAAACGATGAAACCGGTCAGAACCCTGATGATGGGGACAGAGATGGTCCCTGAAACGTCGGTTTCATCGTTTAACCGTCTGGCGCGGCTGAGGACCCGAGAATATTTTATTGAGTTACGTCGTCGCGAAAGCGTCAAATCATATATCTGGCCCCTCTTTCAGCTTTTGAATAAATTGGTCTGATTTTCTGAAGTCACCCCCAACGTTGAGCTTCGTAATTTCACGCGAGTAGTACCAACATGCCGGACTCAAGAACTCGCGAGCGTCATTTAATGTTGGGTCGTGAAATGTGTGGTATCGTATTTCGGAAGAAAAACTAAATTATTGTCATTTTGTATCAAGTTACTTGAAAATGTTCCTACAGATTATGGAATATTTTGTATACGGCAACTATACCTCAAGGGAAAATTAAATTTTCTTGCTTAATGAACACTGTTTACAAAAACTAAATGTTGAGTCTTAGAGAGTAATTCATCATGAAGACAACACACGGAAAATATTGTATTAATTTCTGCTCTACGTGTGATTTTTGATAAAATTTTGAAAAAGCACATTAGGCGGAATTCCCACGATATACGGGGTAATTATTCCATGTGCCTTGGGTTATCCCACCCTATACAAATCCCATGAAGACAAAGACTCCAGTTAATATATATCTGGCATAAGAATAGAGGAACATATGAATACGAAAATAGCCTTATTCAGATTGCCCCTGTCTACGACATGAACACTTCTACATACCAAATACGAGACGCAAATGTAACGTTAAAAAAATTACGAGTCCACAGTTTACAATCATGGTCACTTAAAGTGTGTAGTTTAGCATATGTTCTTGGGTTAGGTAACATTAGGACAGGGTTAGTTTATATGAAGGTTGAAACGTAATATTGGTGATTTTTTTTTTGAAAGTTGTAATAATTTTGTTTAAACTTTTGCGAATGTTTTGTTTCAAATAATACAGCAAAAGTCCTAAATAAAGTTTCACATATGGAGTACATAGAGTTCGTACAAGTCTCTTTATTATTGTTCAGTAACATATCTGCATGTGATATAATCATTACATAATTCGAGCTAAGTCTAAAATTTCAAGACTCAAGGTCGATTGATACTATCGTGTGATCACGCACAGTAATACGAAATTAGGCGGTAGGTCCATGTGTTTACCAAGATGAGAGGTTTCCTGGTAGATGTCTGCACGGGTCGAAATCTTAGAATTTTACCCTGCCCGACCAGAGGAATCCTGGGCCCGAACGCGAAGTTTATCTAAGCCCGAGTTTTGAATGCTGTCATTTGAACCCGACCCGCGCGCGAACGTTTTTTCTCAGTCCCCTGACCGACGGAACACTCCTGTTCGGTTGGTGCGGGCAGAAAGTGAGCTGAATGCCTCACTTGAAATAAGACGGCGTGATCTGTCTAGGACTGCGTTAGAAGTGGCGGGCCACTCGCAAGACACCACCTCAGGGCGGATTATAGTATCAGCCAATCCAGGGAATCTAAGAAGAAATCTCTCGTTTCCGGATTGAAGGGAAACATGATGCACAAATTTCTTTAAATTTTATTTTAAAAAGATCATTATGTTAAATTGTTGAATCCAAGATGACCATCATATTTCTACCTATGTAATGTCTTCCCAAAGACACGAGGAAGAATATCTTCATATGTTTTTATTTCACCCGAATATTTGCAAAGGTCCAGGTGATAATACTGCGTAACGGAGAAATACGAGGTGCGATCGGAAAGTTTCAAGACTGTGTCAATAGCTGATTCTAAAGGAAGAACTCCACATGCGACGCATCGCAGCCAAGTTTGTGCCAAGGCTCCTGTCTTAGGACCAGAAGCAGAATCGACTTCTCGTTTGTTAGGAGCTCAAAGATCTTGCAAGAACCGACTTCAACTTCCTTTCTAAGCTCCGTGTGCCTTCTTCCTCTTCCCAAAGATGAAAATTCAGCTAAAGGGAAGGAGATTTGAGACGATAGAAGAGATTCAGGCAGAATCGCAGATGGTGCTTGACAGGCTGACAAAGAAAGATTTCCAGGGATGCTTCCAGGCTTGGCAGCGGCGCTGGGATCGTTGTGTTCACTCCCTGGGGAACTACTTCGAGGGTGATGGATGAATTTAATACCTGAGATAAGTGTACGGGGTTTTTATACGCGCAGTCTAGAAACTTTCCGATCGCACCTCGTATGCGAACGAGCGTAATCGGACATGAATATTCTGAACAGATGGCTTTTCAGAGATGAGGCGACATTCCACTTCAGTGACAGAGTGAATATTAATTTCGTCAGATGAGGATGTATCGCCAACGAAATTGAAAGATCAAGTCCCAGGGTTAACGTTTGCTGACGAGCGACTTGCAATCAAGTTGTGGGTTAATTTTCTTCACTGAGGAGACTGCGCTGGGGACCTAAATCATCTGTTCCTCGTGTCCCATAACTGCAATAGGAAAACTTGAACATGGTCGTTTTCCAGCATGATGGATCACCACCGCACTTACCGATACAAATCGTGATTTCCATAACACTAGCCTCCAAATTCGCACCTAACGTCGCCCGGTTTCCTTGTTTAGGGGGTTTGTCGAGAACTTTGTGTGGTCAACGACCTCAGGATATTGCTGACCTCAAGATAAAGTTTGCTTCAACCTTTCAGAAAATCACCTCGGAGATGTTAAACCACACGTTGGAAGTACTGGTCTCACTGTTACGTTGAGACCCAATGAACTTTTGTCAGAATCTCCGTTCTTTAAAACAGCGTGTTCCAAATACTGAGTTTAAGAGGTAAATGTTTGCATTCCACAGCGTGTTTATTTTAAACGTATATGCAGACGATTCGCCTTGTACTTGTTTGCTGTTGGTAGTACAGCGTCACAGAGTGGTTCGCACTTCGTCACGGACGGTAATATTTTGTTTGACTTGTGTACGTCATAGACTATGTCAGGGGTTCTCAGTCCGCGGGCAGCTTGAGGCCCGTCGATGTCTTTTGTGTTCCTCGCAAATATTTGTCTGTAATACTTTGGCATTTTGCGTGATAATTTTTTTTGACGTAAATACGTCTATGTTTTAGGGTCAGTGTCATTCGGCAAAAAAGTGTTACGAAAAAGGGAAACGAAAAAGTGTAACTTCATTTTATGTTACCTTGGAAACGTCATCTGTTTATCAACAAATAAACAACAATGGTTACCTACATAGTTACCTTACCTTACCTTACCTTACATTTCATTACATTACATTACCTTACCTTACCTTACATTACATTGCATTACCTTACATTACATTACCTTACCTTACATTACCTTACATTAC